TTTTTTTTTTTTTTTTAAATTTTTTATTGTTGGCTGTTCAAAACATTACATAGTTCTTGATATATCATATTTCACAATTTGATTCAAGTGGGTTATGAGCTCCCATTTTTACCCCATATACAGATTGCAGAATCACATCAGTTACACATCCATTGATTTACATATTGCCATACTAGTGTCTGTTGTATTCTGCTGCCTTTCCTATCCTCTACTATCACCCCTCCCCTCCCCTCCCCTCTTCTCTCTCTGCCCCCTCTACTGACATTCGTTTGTCCCCCTTGTATTATTTTTCCCCTTCCCCTCACTTCCTCTTGTATGTACTTTTGTATAACTCTGAGGGTCTCCTTCCGTTTCCATGCTTTTTCCCTTCTCTCTCCCTTCCCCTCCCACCTCTCATCCCTGTTTAATGTTAATCTTCTTCTCATGCTCTTCGACCCTACTCTGTTCTTAGTTACTCTCCTTATATCAAAGAAGACATTTGGCATTTGTTTTTTAGGGATTGGCTAGCTTCACTTAGCATAATCTGCTCTAATGCCATCCATTTCCCTGTAAATTCTATGATTTTGTCATTTTTTAATGCAGAGTAATACTCCATTGTGTATAAATGCCACATTTTTTTTTATCCATTCATCCATTGAAGGGCATCTAGGTTGGTTCCACAGTCTAGCTATTGTGAATTGTGCTGCTATGAACATCGATGTAGCAGTGTCCCTGTAGCATGCTCTTTTTAGGTCTTTAGGGAATAGACCGAGAAGGGGAATAGCTGAGTCAAATGGTGGCTCCATTCCCAGCTTTCCAAGAAATCTCCATACTGCTTTCCAAATTGGCCGCACCAATTTGCAGTCCCACCAGCAATGTACAAGTGTACCCTTTTCCCCACATCCTCGCCAGCACTTGTTGTTGTTTGACTTCATAATGGCTGCCAATCTAACTGGAGTGAGATGGTATCTTAGGGTGGTTTTGATTTGCATTTCTCTGACTGCTAGAGATGGTGAGCATTTTTTCATGTACTTGTTGATTGATTGTATGTCCTCCTCTGAGAAGTGTCTGTTCAGGTCCTTGGCCCATTTGTTGATTGGGTTGTTTGTTCTCTTATTGTCTAATTTTTTGAGTTCTTTGTATACTCTGGATATTAGGGCTCTATCTGAAGTGTGAGGAGTAAAGATTTGTTCCCAGGATGTAGGCTCTCTATTTACCTCTCTTATTGTATCTTTTGCTGAGAAAAAACTTTTTAGTTTGAGTAAGTCCCATTTGTTGATTCTAGTTATTAACTTTTGTGCTATGGGTGTCCTATTGAGGAATTTGGAGCCCGACCCCACCGTATGTAGATCGTAGCCAACTTTTTCTTCTATCAGACGGCGTGTCTCTGATTTGATATCAAGCTCCTTGATCCATTTTGAATTAACTTTTGTGCATGGCGAGAGAAAGGGATTCAGTTTCATTTTGTTGCATATGGATTTCCAGTTTTCCCAGCACCATTTGTTGAAGATGCTATCCTTCCTCCATTGCATGCTTTTAGACCCTTTATCAAATATAAGATAGTTGTAGTTTTGTGGATTGGTTTCTGTGTCCTCTATTCTGTACCATTGGTCCACCCGCCTGTTTTGGTACCAGTACCATGCTGTTTTTGTTACTATTGCTCTGTAATATAGTTTGAAGTCTGGTATCGCTATACTGCCTGATTCACATTTCCTGCTTAGCATTGTTTTTGCTATTCTGGGTCTTTTATTTTTCCATATGAATTTCATGATTGCTTTCTCTATTTCTACAAGAAATGCCGTTGGGATTTTGATTGGCATTGCATTAAACCTATAGAGAACTTTTGGTAATATCGCCATTTTGATGATGTTAGTTCTGCCTATCCATGAACAGGGTATATTTTTCCATCTTCTAAGATCTTCTTCTATTTCTCTCTTTAGGGTTCTGTAGTTTTCATTGTATAAGTCTTTCACCTCTTTTGTTAGGTTGATTCCCAAGTATTTTATTTTTTTTGAAGATATTGTGAATGGAGTGGTTGTCCTCATTTCCATTTCAGAGGATTTGTCACTGATATACAGGAATGCCTTTGATTTATGCGTGTTGATTTTATATCCTGCCACTTTGCTGAATTCATTTATTAGCTCTAATAGTTTCTTTGTAGAGCCTTTTGGGTCTGCTAGGTATAGAATCATATCATCTGCAAATAGTGATAATTTAAGTTCTTCTTTTCCTATTTTGATGCCTTTAATTTCTTTCGTCTGTCTAATTGCTCTGGCCAGTGTTTCGAGAACTATGTTGAACAGAAGTGGTGAGAGAGGGCATCCCTGTCTTGTTCCAGATTTTAGAGGGAATGCCTTCGATTTTTCTCCATTCAGAATGATGCTAGCCTGAGGCTTAGCATAGATTGCTTTTACAATATTGAGGTATGTTCCTGTTATCCCTAGTTTTTCTAGAGTTTTGAACATAAAGGGATGCTGTACTTTGTCGAATGCTTTTTCCGCATCTATCGAGATGATCATATGGTTCTTATTTTTAAGTCTATTGATGTGGTGAATAACATTTATTGATTTCCGTATATTGAACCAGCCTTGCATCCCAGGGATGAATCCTACTTATCATGGTGCACAATTTTTTTGATATGTTTTTGTATCCGATTCGCCAGAATTTTATTGAGGATTTTTGCATCTAGGTTCATTAGAGATATTGGTCTGTAGTTTTCTTTCTTTGAAGTGTCTTTGTCTGGTTTAGGTATCAGGGTGATGTTGGCCTCGTAGAATGAATTTGGAAGTTCTCCCTCTTTTTCTATTTCCCGAAGTAGCTTGAAAAGTATTGGTATTAGTTCCTCTTTAAAGGTTTTGTAAAACTCTGCTGTATACCCATCCGGTCCTGGGCTTTTCTTAGTTGGTAGTCTTTTGATGGTTTCTTCTATTTCCTCAATTGATATTGGTCTGTTTAGGTTGTCTATATCCTCCTGACTCAATCTGGGCAGATCATATGACTTAAGAAATTTATCTATGCCTTCACTATCTTCTAATTTATTGGAGTATAAGGATTCAAAATAATTTTTGATTATCTTCTGTATTTCTGAAGTGTCTGTTGTGATATTGCCTCTTTCATCCCGTATGTTAGTGATTTGAGTTCTCTCTCTTCTTCTCTTCGCTAGCATGGCTAAGGGTCTGTCGATTTTGTTTGTTTTTTCAAAGAACCAACTTTTAGTTTTGTCAATTTTTTCAATTGTTTCTTTTGTTTCGATTTCATTAATTTCAGCTCTGATTTTAATTATTTCTTGCCTTCTACTTCTATTATGTTAATTATTAATAGCTATTATAATTCAGTTATTATAATAATTTATTAAATTATGCCATAAGCCTTTGTATCCAAACCAAGCCTTAGTTGCCAACATGGTTGTTCTTAATAATTACAATATTAATCAGTGATTGTCTTTACCTCATATTAATGAAATTTTTGACATCTGGGAGAACCTTAAATTGAGATTCTAAAAGTATTTTTTTCAAATAATGGTTCTATTTATGCAGTGATTGTGGTAAAATAGCTGCATTTTGAAAATATCTATGAATTGAATTCCATTGCCATAATTAGAAGGAGAGACTTGAAATTTGGAGAATTCTTTCAGTATTTGTAATTTCATATTTGTAATTCTCTCTCTACATATTAGGTTTTAACACCACAAAAATTGGAATTGTTAAGAGCCCAAATACAACAGGAATTAGAAACTCCAATGAGAGAACGTTTACGGAATCTGGATGAAGTAAGTAATTATGTAGATGAACTATTCATTTATCTTCATGTGATTATGAAAGTTGATGAAAAGCATCCTTCCTTTACTCAAAATCTCTTCAGTGGCTCCCCTTTAAAGAGTCCATATTGTGGCCTCTAAGGCTTCACAGGATTGCAGTGCGTTATTTCTCTGGCCTCGTTTCCTCCATCCTAATTGGCCTCTTGATGTTTCTTTGGCACTCTAAAAGTGGTGAAGTTCAAGAGCCATTGCTGTAGCATTATTTCTGCTTTGAATATTCATCCTCCAGATTTATCTTGGCTAACTTCTTCATCTCTTGCAAGTCTCTGTTTAAAATGTTACTTTTGTCACTGAGGCCTACTTGACTTCCCCCTCATCTTTCCCCATTTAATATTGCAATCTGCTTTCCCCATCACTACTTAAATCTTTGGATCCCCCTTACCTTGCTGTATTTTTAATCTTTTCTCAAGTACCTTCTACCTTCTAACATGCTAACTGATTTATTTATTGTGCTTATTTTCTGTTAGCACCTTTAGAATGGAAGTTGCACAAGAGGAAGAACTTCTGTATTTATTTTGTTCATTATTTCAAGTTCCTAGAATAGTTCGTGACATACAGTATATAGGTGCTCAATTAGTTTTTTTCCCCAATGAAGGAATGCATTTCATGCACTTCAGAAAGGAAAATATTTGTTAGTTGTCCTTCAGGTTGAGACCGGTCTCCTTTTATAAAGTATTGGTATGATATGATTAAATGTTTAATAAAAGGAAGAGGAAAAGACTACAGATATTAAGTAGATTTGGTACTGTGCTAGACATTTTGTACTATACCTTTTTAAACAAATATATTTAGGCCTTATATGTACAAATGATCATTGTCCCCTTTCAAGTGTACCCCTTTGGGAGATTATAGTCTAGTGATATACCATTACATGGAATGGTCATGGAATCCTCTTTTATAATGGTTTATTGGCTTGATACTATGATCTTTTGAATATATTGCTAGTGGCAGTATTCTGGTTTGAGAATAGATTTAATTTTTGGAAATGAAATCACTCAAAACTTAAGGTAGTTGATAAAGTAAAAAGAGGTTTTTAAAATCAAAACAAATTATCTCTAATATTATGAAACCCATTTTCTTGGCTTGTCAACTGGCTTAGGAACCTTTCAACTAAAGATGTACAGTGATAAAAACAAAAACAAAAAATTTACAGCAAGGCTGATTGATATTTCGAGAGATATTTTCCCTCATTACCTAGTTTCTTAATACTTCTTGAAATAATGTCTCTTGCATCTTTCTGCTATTTTGCCTGTTTCTTGTTAAGTTTTTATTTTTTTGTTTCTTTTTTAATTTATAAATGACAGCGGAATGCATTACAATTCTTATTACACATCTAGAGCACAATTTTTCATACCTCTGGTTGTATTCACAGTATATTCACACCAATTCATGCTTTCATACATGTACTTTGGATAATAATGACCATCACATTCCACCATCATTTCTAATCCCATTCCCCTTCCCTTCCCCTCCAACCCCTCTGCCCTATCTAGAGTTCCAGCTGTTATAGGTGGTTAGGAAGCAGGATTGGAGCCCCCTGGGGAATTGTATGTGTTTCTGGTGAGTGAGAGACAGTCCTACAAATATCCTTCAGGGTGGTGCAGTGAGTAGAGCTATCATTCTAATATTTGTTTGCACCTTAAGGTACTCTACTAAATATTCTGTTCTTTTATCTACTTTGAGTTCATCTTGCCTAAATTTTAGAGGAGTATCTTATACTTTAAAAAATCTAGCTATATTTTGAAAGGTGTGTTGCATTCTTAAACATTATTTATTAAGCCCAGAGGTCACACCTTTTTCGTGCTGTACATTTTTTATTATAATGAGGATCAGTGAAGAAACAACATTAATTAAATGATAATTGTTTTCATTGGTACCTTCTCAGTAATTCTGTCTGTAGGATGCTTAGGAGGACTTTTCTAAGTTTCATTTGTATTCCTATTAATTTCGTTTTTTTACTTTCAGAATGGCTACCGATATACTATGTAGTTTTATTTCTAAAAGTGATTTTTTGGACTGAGTACAAATTTCACTTTTAAATTTGTTATAAATTGCAATCTTATTTTAGGAAGTGGAGAAGTATAGAGCTGAATATAATAAGCTTCGCTATGAACATACATTTCTCAAGTCAGAATTTGAACACCAGAAAGAAGAATTTGCACGCATTTCAGAAGAGGAAAAAATAAAATATGAATCAGAGGTAAGTAATTGATTATACTAGTTTATTCAAAATTTCTCTAGTCAATAAAATTTTATGATTACGTATTTTTGTATATCTCGAATTAGAGTTGATTGCATGATTATGTTTTAATAATTAATGATGAAGTATTTGTAATGGTTTTCATTTACTCTCTAACAACACTTTTCTTGTGAATGTTCTGTTTTGGCTGTTTGATTTTTAAAATTTCTTTGCTCTTTAATTTTTCTCTGCCAATTGAGATAAACACTTTGGGGATTTCCATACTATATAGTCTCTTGTCTCCCATAGCCATGGACATAAATTTCTAGTTTATGTGATAAATATAGATTATGTGATTCCTTGTTTAGCAGTGTCCCCTCTACTTCTTGAACCAAACTACTGCCTGGGGAGCTCTAGCTGTCAGTCATAGCACCTTGTTTCCATTGATATAAACAAAGAGATTTTACCTTCATGTATGCCCACCACCTGCAGAAAGTATACTTTCTTCTTTCTGACATCTGCAGCTGCAAAATTTTCTCTCTGCTGCCTACAGCATGCACTCCTATTCCATCTCCATTTCTTTTGCCAGCTTTTCTACTCATTTTCAGGTTTGTCTCCTAGTTTTACTAAAAATGGGGATTCTGTTTTTCATTCCTCATGTTACTTTCAGATGCTTTTTCAAGAGGGAAGGAGAGAAATACCAATTTTCTTCTGCACATTCATAAAAAGAACTTGTTGGGCTGGGGTTGTGGCTTAGTGGTAGAGCACTTGCCTAGCAAGTGTGAGGCACTTGGTTTGATTCTCAGCACCACATTAAAAAAATAAATAAATAAAAGCAAATAACTTGTTGTCTGTAGGTAGGTTATACATTTCTTTGTAGAAACATTTGTATTTTATATTTTTATATTAATTTTATTTGGAATTAAAAGTTAAAATATTATTCCTTCTTTTACCAATTATTATTTATAATGTTCTAGGCATCTAATAAAAACTAACTTAAATAAATAAATATATATATGTGTATACATATGTGTGTGTGTGTGTGTGTGTGTGTGTGTGTGTAATGTTGTAGATAGACACAATACCTCTATTTTGTTTACTTATTTTTATGTGGTACTGAGGATCCAAGCCAGTGCCTCATATGTACTAGGCAATAATAAAAACTAAAACTGTGCCTTTGTAATTAGGCTGACTTATTCTTTTTTTTTTTGTTATTGTTCTTTTTAGTTATACATGAAAATAGAATGTATTTTGACATATCTTACATACTTCCCATTCTTGTGGCTGTATATGACATGGAGTTACACTGGTGGTGTATTCATATATGAACATAGGAAAGTTATGTCCAATTCATTCTACTGTCTTTCCCATTCTTGTTTCTTTTCCCATCCTTCCCCTCCATTCCCCGCTGTTCAGTCCAGTCTAGTGAACCACCCTGCCCCAGCCTATTTTGGGTCAGCATCTGCATATCATAGGGTCCTTTGGGTTTTTGGGGATTGACTTATTTAATTTAGCAGATAGTCTCAAGTTCCAGCCATTTACCAGCAAATACCATAATTTCATTTTTCTTTATGATTGAATAATATTCCATTATGTACATGAATCACATTTTCTTTATCCATTCATCTGTTGAAGGGCACCTAAGTTGGTTCCATAGCTTAGCTATTGTGAATTGAGCTACTATGAACACTGATGTGGCTGCATCACTATAGTATGCTGATTTTAAATCCTTTGGATATATGCTGAGGAGTTGGATAACTGGATCAAATGGTGGTTCCATTCCAAGTTTTCGGAGAAATCTCCATACTTATTTGCAGAGTGGTTGCACCAATTTGCAGTCCCACCAGCAATGCATGAGTGTACCTTTCCCCCTATATTCTCACCAACATTTATTGTTACTTGTATTCTTGATAACTGCCATTCTGACTAGAATGAGATGAAATCTCAGTGTAATTTTAATTAGCATTTCTCTAATTTCTAGGGATGTTGAACAGTTTTTCATATATTTGTTGACCATTCTTATTTCTTCTCTGAAGTGTCTAGTACCCTTACCCATGTATTGATTGGGTTACTTGTTTTTTGGTGTTTTTAGTTCTTTATATATGCTGGAGATTAGTGCTCTGACGTGTAGGTGGCAAATATTTTTTCCATTCGATAGGGTCTCTCTTCATGTTCTTGATTGTTTGTTGTGAAGAAGCTTTTTTAGTTTGATAAAATCTCATTTCTTTATTTATTTAGTTTTTAAATTTATTTTTTAGTTGTAGGTGGACACAATACCTTTTTATTTTTTATTTATGTGGTGCTGAGGATCGAACCCAGAGCCTCACGCATGCAAGACAGTGCTCTGTGGCTGAGCCCCAGCCCCAGCTCCTTATTTTATTTTAATACATATGGATTTCCAGTTTTCCCAGCACCATTTGTTGAAGAGGCTATCTTTTCTCCAATGTATGTTTATGGTGCCTTTGTCAAGTATTAGATAACTTTATTTATGTGGGTTTGTCTCTGTGTCTTCTATTCTGTCTTCATACCTGTTTTGATGCCAATACCGTGCCCTCTTTGTTACTACAGCTCTATAATATAATTTAAGGTCTGGTATTGTGATGCCTCCTGCTTCACTTTTCTCGGTGAGGATTGTTTTGGCTATTCTGGGCCTCTTATTTTTCTAAATGAATTTTATGCCTGCTTTTTCTATTTTTATAAGAATAGGCTGACTTATTCTTACCAGTGAGCAAACTGTTACATGATTATTCTATATTAGAAGCTATCTGAACTGTGAATCATTTGAGTCCATCAGCATGATAGTACCAGAATACTATAAATATTTATATTTTTTGTGTTAAAAAATTCTTTACAACTTTATGTGCTTTATTATGCATTTATTATATTGCTTCTATCATAAGAGTCAGTGAGATGGAGTAGAGCTGTCTTTTTTTCATCCATTTAAAATATATTTTTTAAAAATATATGTGTATATTTTAGTGGGAGATAGACAAAATACCTCTATTTTATTTACTTATTTTTATGTGGTGCTGAAGATCCAAGCCAGTGCCTCACATGTACTAGGTGAGCACTATACCGCTGAGTCACAACCCTAGTCCCTTTTCATCCATTTTATCTTATGATTTACTTATTTATTTATTCATTCATTTATTCTAATTAGGTATATATGATAGCAGAATGCATTTTGACTCATTGTACACAATTGCGGCACAACTTTTCATTTCTCTGGTTGTATACAATGTAAACATTGCACCATATGTGCAGTCCTACATGTACTTATTCTACCATCGTCCCTTCCCTATTCCCCCTCCCTTTGTCCAATCAAAGTTCCTCCATTTTCCAATGAGCTCCCTCTTTGCCCCCATTATGGATCAGCATCGACTTATCAGAGAGAATATTTGGCCTTTGGTTTTTGGGATTGGCTTACTTGGCATAGCATGATATTCTTCAACTCCATCCATTTTACCTGTAAATGCCATAATTTTTTTCTCTTTTAATGCTGAGTAATATTCCATTGAAGAGGCACAACTTAAATGAATTGTCCAAATTCTCACACAAAGTTAGCAGTTAGGTTAATGATAGAACTCGAAAATCCCAACTTAGGTATCTCAACCCCAAACCTAGAGTTTTTAACTTTGAAATGAACCATGATTTGAAGGTTCACTCTGATCAAAAGCCTGCCAACAATTGCAATTTTTTTAAGTGCTCTGTTGACTTACAGTATCTGTAATTATAAAGGTTTTGAATTTGTTAGTATTGTTGACTTAATGGAACTCCATATAAAATTTTTCTTGTGGAAAATAAAAATGATAAAGATTTCTTGCCTAAAATGAAGATTTAGCATATTAAGAGTGACTGTTGAAGTTCCATACTATGATCCTTTATTTAGACTTTGTATTTAAACAAATTAAATGATGAATCTGGTAATGTTTATTTGTATTTTCCAGTATCTCAGTTTTGTTGTTTCTTTTTAAAAAATAAAACTTACATCAGAAATCTAATGACAAATCTATTTTTCACCCATTAAATACGAAATGATTTTCAGAGTTTAACATTTTATTGAAAAAAAAATTTTAATTATTATTTTTATTTTTGAGGAATGCTGGGAGTTAAACCTCTCGACTATTAAAAAATTTTAAGGGTGAGTGGTGTCATTAACTTTTATAATTGGTATATCTTCTGATAATAATCTGAAGATAAACTGCTAGCTAAGAAGTCATAATTAGTAGAATGTATAAAAGTAAGACTTTCTGATAAACTGGGTTTTTTTTCCCTCTTCTACTTGCCAGTTGATTATTAAGGAACAATATTATTAAGTAAATACTTGGGGATTTACTTTCATTTTATCACTTATCTTTATACTCCAGTTTCTATACACAAACACAGAAAAAGCTGGTGAGGTACTTGTGTATATGTCATGAAGCCCCAAATGTAATTTCAAAGATAGTTTATAGTAATAGCAAATATAGTTTCAAAGTAGAATCTACTCTTGTCACCTTCCCATTTTACAATTTAAACTAGTGTTAAATATACAAATTCATGTAATAAAGTGCAAACATACCTTGTTTTATTACACTTTGCTTTATTACATTTCACAATTCTTACTTTTTTTTATTGATTGAAGGATTTTGGCAGCTTTATATTGAGCAAATCTGTAGGCACCATTTTTCCAAAAGCATGTCCTCACTTCATTATTTTGTGTCAGATTTTGGTAATTCTCACAGTATTTCCAACTTTGTTATTATCTGTTATGGTGATCTGGGACAAGTGATCTTTGCTGTACTGTGGGTAATTGTTTTGGAATGCTGTGAACTTGTCCCACAAATGTGTATTCTGACTGTGCCACAGACTGGCTGTTCCCCTGTATCTCTCTCTCTCCTTGGGTTTTCCTGTACCTTGAGACATAACAATTATAAAATTAGACTAATTAATAACCTCACAGTGTCCTCTTGGTATTCAAGTGAAAGAAAGAGTCACATATCTTTCACTTGAAACAAAATCTAGAAAATTTTTTTAAATTA